ATATATATATATATATATATATATATATATATATATATATATATATATATTATTATTTATTATGCATATATATTAAGACATGCATCATGATTTCCCACCTGAACATGATGTACAGTTTTGTAGTGGGTATGTGCATGTTCTAATGTAACACTGCATAATAAATAAATATTTATTGCTCTACTTTTGTATTAAGCCTTGTTTTTAAATTAATATTTTGAACGCTGAAATCTTACTTTTTCGTTATATTTTATATATTTATATATATATATATATATATATATATATATGCATGTTTCATTAAATAATATAGACAAGTCGTGTTTATTTATTTTAAGTAAGTTCCTTTCATATTGTCTGATAAGCTTAATAACATTATCATTGAAAGACGAAAGGAAATCACCATATTCATACATATTTAAAGCAACGACAAACTCGTGTATGCGATTTTCGCCTCCGCGTCTCGTATACACGAGTTTGTCGTTGCTTTGAAATTTTTCATGCAACAAAAGCAGACTATCATTATTGATTCGTCCGTGTATTGTTTGATATATTGAAATGTAATTGTCATCTTTGATAATGGCTTATGTAAGCCGAAAGCTTAGATCCGATTTAAACATGTATCAATATGGTGATTTCCTTTCGTCTTTCAATGATAATGTTATTAAGCTTCTCAGACAATATGAAAGGAACATACTTAAAATAAATAGACACAACTTGTTTATATTATTTAATGAAACGTGCATCAATGAAAAATTGCAGCCTAAATATGCACAATATATATATATATATATATATATATATATATATATATATATATATATATAAAAGAAAGAGGTTGTAGTGGTTCCAACGAGAGAAAAGTATGTATATTAAAAAGAAGAGAAGAGAGGTGCCGCAAACATTTTTGGTTGTAATGTGAATTTATTTAGAAAAAATATTATGCTTTGTTTTTACATAATTTTACGACACGTGTTTCTGGTCTCGCGACCGTCTTCAGGTAAAAACGGAGATTTCACGTTATTAAAAAATAATTAATTTTTTCCTTATGTTCAATGTTAAATATTCTCGATATGAGACATTCTCTGTTTTTTGTGTTAGTAATCCGAATTTATTTTTTTCTAAATAAATCCACATTATAACCAAAAACGTTTGCGGCACTTCTCTTCTCTTCTTTTCAATATATATATATATATATATATATATATATATATATATATATATATATATATAATGAATTGAAATACAGATCATGTTAACTTTGAGTTTTCGCTGAAAGCAGGAATTCAGAGTTTGGTTAGCAGAAAGTCAAGAAGTCGAATTTGTTAACTGATCGAAAGAATTTCTTCATTAACAATGTAATTAAGTCAGAATAACAACTAACCCCATCACGTTCCCGAGTCAACCTCCTGTCATCTCCTCCTACCAACCTATTACTTCACCCAGTTACCAGATTAGATCTAATTATATCTCGTGTTTGTTGTCTGCTTGGGGAAGACTGAAGTTTATGTAGGCGGGACATGTTAAAACCTACACAATTTCTTTTTCCTCCTTTTGAAGTGAATGTTTTGAAGACGTTGTTTTCTTAAGAAACAAAAGATTTTAAAGATGATTACCTGAAAAGTAAGGCGGTTTTTTTTTATAGCAAAGAATGTTTCGTATGGTTTCTCGAATCATAATTTAAAAAAAATAAAAATAAAAACGTTGTTTATAAATAATCTTAACTTCATTCAATTGAAATTTATTTTCGATTGAATGATATATACATAAATATCTGTCTACTGGACCAATTGATAATAGTATCTATTTTAATAGGCAGCGGAGATGTGGTTCTACAGAAGGATGCTAAGGATATCATGGAACGAGCGTGTGATCAACGATGGAGAGGATGCAAACAAGGAGGAAGCATATACTTAACATCAAGAAGAGGCAGCTGAAGTTTCTGGAACGCATAATGAGGAAAGACGGCCTGGAGAATCTGATACTCACAGGTCGAATAGAAGTCAAGAAAGACAAGAGGAAACAACGCATGGCATACCCGATTGGGCTTAAGCAAGTGGATCGCAGAACATGGTCTGAGGGTGTTGGCAAAGGCATGAAACTTATGGAGAGCCACAAGGGACAGGGGGAAATCGAGAGCCATGATCGCCTACGTCCTGAAAAGACACGACACATGAAAAGAAAAGAAAGATGTATTGACTGATTTTTTTATGGTTTATTAACCATTTCAAAACCCTTCGATAGCCTATTTCATATTCAATGCAAAACAAAAGGCTCCTAAGATATTTTAAAATATATGACAATTTCTCGGACATTTCATAATGCGTGACGTCATTTGTTTACATTTGGACACGCCATGAGCAGATATGAATGTACGTGAGAGAATTATGGAAGATTGTATTTTAAAGACAGTAAAATCGGGCTTGCTAAACGAACGCTCCTCTGTGGCCAAATCGGTTATAGGCACGTCAGGTTATATGACGGTTCCGTATAGGATACAGGTTCGATTCCTGTCACAGAACGAATATTTTCTATGAAAATTTCTCAGACATTCAGGCTGGTAAATGTTAATAATACTGTTTATTATAAAACAGAGCATTTACTTAAATATTTGTATGTATAAAAAGAATGTATAAACATAAAAATGTCTTAAAATAATTGTCGGACTTTGTCCATTTCATTATATATATATATATATATATATATATATATATAATAAAAAGAAAGAGCAATAAGATATATAATCCGGTATTCTTATTTTTACAAAACAGTGCTCAATGCAAATCTACAGAACATAAAAAAAATCTAGAGAGCATAGAAAAAATATTTATGTATACAATTACAAATTTAAAGGCGATACAAAAGTGCCGAAAAAGTTTTTGTCGTTGATAAAGACCAGACGATATGCGTTGAACGGATGTCATCATTCATTGGAAAAGGCACCCCTACCCTACCTTGACTTAACCTCTTTTCAAAAGTAACTCATATTTTGATACAGTAGTTGTCAGTGAAAATGAATAACCTACCAGCCCTTATCAAAACGATTGAATTTCACCGTATCCTTAGAAACTAATATTATGAATGTATGCGCTTATAAAACTAAGTAAATTTAGAAAATAAGTTATTCCAAAATTCGCTTGAAAATGAAACAGGACTAGGGACTTTAATTTAATTCTATATTTGAATTTGAATTAGTAAATATATATATTATATATATATATATATATATATATATATATATATATATATATATATATATTATGAGAATTAAAGTCGATTTAAAACTACTAAATTTTTGTCGCTATTGTCTCTTCAACATGTTTGTGTAAAAAACATAAAAATCTCCTATTGTATATGTTCATTAATCCCATCGTATGGTGTCATAAATTTGCATATTCACTTATATATACGCTCCAATTTTTAAACAGTGCAGATTTTCCCCATGAAGTCCCTCAAATGCACATACCAGTAAACGTAATTCAGACTGTTGGGTATCTGTTCAAACATGTGTATCCAAATGCCAAGTTAGAAATAAAATACAAATTAAAAAAAAAATCAAATTTTGAATTGAATATTCTTTTGCTATCTTTCCATTACTCTAACCAGGTAGCTATCACCGTGTACTGGTCAAGGAGGGATTGATAATCAGCTTAAAATTAAAAGAAGCAACGTCATTTATATGCAAGATGAATTCTATTTCATCGACTTGAAAGATGCTTTATGTCTTAAGAGCCTTCTGTGATGAAGAACAATTAAAAATTGAAATCGTTTTGTGGATCCCTAAGAGGATTTTCCAAAATGGGGCAAGGCATTGTTGCCTTTAAGCTGGGACAGATGGATTTATCATAAAAATGATTATAACAATAATATTAAAACCTCTTCAACTTCATCAGGATTCAAGTAGTGTTTTCAAATGATCAGAATGAACATAGTTACACAGCGGGGTGAGAGAAAACTATTGACTGACTGATTTGTTATTTTATGGTTTATCAACCTTTTGTAGATTATTTAAAGCCAGAAAACATATAATACTGTAATAATAATTTTGAAATAATGATTTTACTGATACAGATCCTACTAATTAACCCATATATATATATATATATATATATATATATATATATATATATATATATATATATATATATATATTATGCAGTGTTACATTAGAACATGCACATACACACTAAAAAAAAATACATCTTGTTTCAAAGTTAAAAACGAAACTTTTTTAACGTTTCATCAGGTGGGGAATCAAGATGCGACTCCCTGATGAAACGTTAAAAAAAAAAGAAAAGAAAAGTTTTCGTTTTTTTAACGTTGAAACAGGATGTACAGTTTTGTAGTGTGTATGTGCATGTTCTAATGTAACACTGCATAATAAATAAATATTTATTGTTCTACTTTTGTATTGAGCTCTATTTTAAATTAACGTTTTGAACGCTGAAATCTTACTCTCCTTGTTCTTTTACATTTGTATATATATATATATATATATATATATATATATATATATATATATATATATATATATATATGTGTATATATATATATATATATATATATATATATATATATATATGTGTGTGTGTGTGGGTTGTGGTTTCTATAACAAGCCAGTTTTTAAGTGAGTAGGTTGTTAGACTACTGCACACCCCCCTACCTAGAGTATCAGGTTTTGCATTCAGAGTTGCCACCCCTGGTTACAGAACCCGGTCTGTCCTGCTATTTACTCATAGGGGGAGAAGAAGAAGATTCATACCGTTCTCAAGTGCGTAGGGGAATATAATGGATTCGACTGGAATTCGAACTCGGCTCTCCGATTTCTCAATCCGAGCCACTATCCATTACTCCACCGTGTCTCCCATAGTGTGGAGATAATTAGTGGATTCATATTTTCCCTTAGTGTATTTACGCATAAGTAATCCGACTGGAATTCGAACTAGGCTCTCCGGTTTCTAATTCCGAGCTGTTATATATTACACCAGCCGCATATCCAAGCTTACAGAGCATGGAATTCCCAAGCGGTCACCCATTTAGGCACGGGCTCGAGGTTGCTTAACTTCGGTGATCGAACGAGAACCGGTGTTTTAAACATGGTATTGAATAACTAAATAACTATCGTGATACGCTACTGCGTTTGTTCAACCGTAATTCATAACCACCACCCGGAAAGATGTGGATATTTAACTACCACGCTATGGTGGCAGAATGTGACCCATCGGTTTCGTGTGAGTTCTCGATTATGGGTATGGGCCGAGAAGAAGAATTGCCCAACCCCCACGCGACCGCAATGGGGGAGATGCTGTAAGGTTGGTATCCGAGAGACAGCGCTCAACTTATCCCTCAAAAGCAAAATCAAGTGCCAGGTGATCTCATGTCGTAGTAGGAGAACATTACAGAATGGACGCCGAGGTAAAGACCGAATGGTGTGTTTGCCTAATTTTATCTTGCATGTGCATACATGGTGCGATGGATAAATTGTCGTCTAAATGATGCCAAACTGAAAATAACACTAATATCTCATTCTAACAGACATATTTACCAAAATTACACAAAAAATATATTGAAATGCTAAGGAGTAAGTTTCTTCAATAAAGTTGGCATTGGCTTCAACCACTGTCTTCAAACGTCTTCAGAATCTCCTGCAACTCGTCTGGGTAGTCTCCTTGTTTAAATTGGTGAATGCTGCCACAATCCTTGTCTTCAGATCCTCTTTGGTGTTACAATGTGTTTTGTTAGTCTCTCGCTCAACTGCGCCCCATACATAATAATTAAGGGGGTTGCAGTCTGGGGATTTAGGTGGCCAGATGTAAGGGGTGATGGTGGTCGCAAAAACTGTCTGACAGCCATGACTGGGTTCTCTTGTTTGTGTGCCATGATGCAGAGTCTTGTTGCAAAACATAGGGTCATCCAACAGCCACCCTGTTGGCCCAGAGCAGCACTACGTACCTAAGGCACTTGATGTAGGCCCCAGTGTTGAGCCTGAGGTCCTGTGGGATGATGAATGGAAGCATAACTTCATCATCGCGAGTGATCACTCTAAACATCATGATGTTGACTGGATATATCATACAACTCTTTTTAAATCCCCTGCATTGCCCTCAGATTGACATCGAAACACACTGAAATGTTCGTATTGGAGCTTCCGGCGCGAATGCCAAGCAGTACAACATGCCGTTTCCAAATTTCTGGCAGAATGAATTATGTCATAGTGCACTTTTTCTCACCAACGGTAACCAACTGACCCTATTATATTGAGCAGTCGACAAAATAAAAAACAAAGCGCATGCGCGAAATTAAAAAAATATGAAATATCGAAAATTTACACATCGCATTCTGTGTGTATATATATATAATTAATACAAGTAGAAGGTTTGTCACTTAGCTGACCGATGTTGCCTTCACCCTTCCGACTCCAGAGTTTTGTAGACGTACCCCTCCAAGTATCACTTCCTTTACTCGTCAGAGAATCAGCAATTGACTACTTATACTTCTCGATTTTTCTTTTTTATATGCACTTTTCAGTGTTGCAATGTTTTCCATAGTGTATGTGTGCGTTGACATACTTGTAGAATGTCCTGGTTATTTGTCTTTTTCGTTGTTTTTTATTTCACTTTACACTCACGTCTTATCGTTTGTTTTATCTTTTCTCTCTTTTTCTATTTTTTTTTCTTTCAATTGAAGCTATTTTGACTTCCGGTTTTCCAGAGATAAAATATTCTTCAGATGCATTGGCAAATCAGTATGGCTGATGATAACCCCCAGGAGAGTAATTAATTGCGCTTTATTATTCTAACATTTTCCACCGACGTGAATTGGAATAATTCTTTTGAGCCAATCGCTAAGTTTGCTGCAAAGAATATTGTCGTGCTAGGTTTTATTTTCTTGATAGAATCTATCTTTCCCCCTTTATAAGTCGACCATTAATCCGCGGATTGAATATTGGTGACATATCTAGTCTGCTCTATATCTACAGATTCATGACGAAAACGCAAAGGATAATGTGCAATGTTATTAGTCCAAACCTGGCATCTCGACTTCAGTCATTCATAACATAGCTTCCCTGTACCTTTCCTATAAATATTTGCGTAGCGATTTTTTATGGTATTTCCTATATGGTACTTCGATTTTATGAATTTTCGCGTGGTACTAGATTGGCAGTTAGGTCACATCCTTTTACTGTTTGAAATTGCTAGATGCAACTGTAAGTTCTACTCTAATAATTTCTTCTCTCGCTCTTCTTGCTTGTGGAGCTCATTTTCAGCTTCTGCCTTTTTCTGTTGACCACAATCTTCGAAAATTTAAATGTAATGTCAATCGTCGTCTTGTCTGCGCTTGAATCCTGATTTTTTGTACTTTCTCATCAACCTTTTCTCAGTTTCTTCAGTATTGAGTCTAAATCCTTTCGAATGGCAAAGGAAGAGAAATATCTGTAATCTTTATGCCCCAAAAGAGTCTGGGTTATTTTGCAGAAATAGATCAGATGGTTTTTGCTTGCGTAAAGGAGAGAAAAGAGAAGTCATAAATATTAAAGACCTCTATTATTTTAAACATTTTCTGTCAGGCAGTAATAATCATTCTCTTCTTATGTTGTTATAAATGGCTTGGGTGGCCATCCTTACACCTACGAGGCAACAATGTGACTATATTGGTAGAAAAATCAATAATTCCGTAAGTGAATCTGCCAAATCGATAAGACTGCTATTGATTTCCAAGACAATACATAAATGATACAATAGTGAAATGTATATGTGCCAGTGTGTTCTTTCAACTTTGGAAAATCTCTGACTTTTTTCTCTTTTAAGATAGAGACGCTAGCTGTGACGTTTGCATATTGCATAATATGAGAGGTGTGGTCAAAAAGCAGTGTCTATTTTTATTCTGGTGCGAACCATACAAAGAATAAGAGAAGAATGTTGTTTCTTGGTATGACAGAGGGAAGGCCAAGTACACATATCTGAAGGTGTTCAGCTGAGTTGCGTTGAGCTGGAATAAAAAAAGAAAAACAAAACAAACGTAAAACTTGCATTTGGCAGGCGAGAAAATGAAGTCGGATCTATCTATCTATCTATCTATCTATCTATCTATCTATCTATCTATCTATCTATTTCTTTCTCTCTAAGTCTGTTCATATCTATCTATCTATCTATCTATCTATCTATCTATCTAGCTACCTAGCTATCTAATTTCCACCCATCCTTAATTACTTTATCTATCTATCTATATATCTCGGTCTTTCTTTCTTTCTTTCTTTCTTTCTTTCTTTCTTTCTTTCTTTCTAAGTCTGTTCATATCTACGGCCATCACAGAAACTGTCTCCCAAGCTCTTCAAAATAACGGAGAAGCTCGTGCCGTGGCTCTAGACATCTCCAAAGCGTTTGATAGGATTTGGCATGCCGGCCTTCTTCGCAAGCTCCAGGGTTATGGTATTACAGGTCGATTATTTGACCTAATACAATCATTCCTGTCAAACCGTGAATTGAAGGTCGTTTTCAACGGATTCTCCTCCAGTTCTTATCCCACGAACGCAGGTGTTCTTCAAGGCTCCATCCTGGGCCCTACTCTATTCCTTATTTTCATCAACGATCTTCCTGACGCCATAGATTCCCAAGTTGGCATCTACGCGGATGATACTACAATTTACTCCTGCCTCAAAAACAAATCTAGTGTCGCTGACAAAACTAACCTGGCCGTGCGTTTCGAAAAAGGACCTTTAATCGATTGTGAACTGGGGCAGGAATTGGCTGGTCAACTTTAATGCTTCAAAAACAAAACTGCTCTCTATTAATCACCGCAGAGATCCTTCCCTGCCCCCCCCCATTAGAATGTCTGACGCTCAACTTCTCGAAAGCACCTCTCTGCGGCTGCTCGGTCTTACGTTGACGGCTGACCTGAGATGGAACAAATACATTGAGTCAATTGCTTCGTCCACCGCAAGGAAAGTTGGCTCCTGTGCCGCGCCAGGAAATTTTTCTCCCGGAATCGATCCTTCACATCTACAAATCAACAATTCGCCCTTGCATGGAGTATTGCTGCAATATATGGTCTGGATCCCCTTCTGTTTGCCTCGGGGATCTTGATAAGATCCAGAGGCACATATGCAATATAATAGGCCCTGCTCTGGCATCTCGTCTACAGTCGCTCTCTCCCAGACGCGCCGTTGCCTCTCTATGTCTTTTTTACAAATACTTTCATGGTAATTGTTCCGAGGAGCTGAATTTGCTGGTTCCCAGACTTCATGAATCCAAGCGCCCTACGAGGCTGGCATCCCGCTCTCACCCTCTCTTCTACTCCAATAGCTTCATATCTCGCACCTCTCGCCTGTGGAACTCCCTTCCATATTCCTGTTTCCCTGAGAGCTATAATCTCCAACTATTCAAATGTAATGTCATCTCCAGTCGCCTTGATCTATCCACTATCCTTCTCCTCATCCTTCCCTCTATCACGCCTATCTGCTGTTGCTCCAAATCTTCTGTAACCCCTTACGTCCTAGTAACTTCCCGCCTTGCTTGGGGTGAAACACTAAAAAAAAAAAAAAAAAAATCTATCTATCTATCTATCTATCTATCTATCTATCTATCTATCTATCTAATTTCCATCCATCCTTAATTACTTTCTTAATCACCATCATCCTCATCTATGTGCTGTATCCCTACAGGACATCCTTTCCTTCTTAACTTTGAGCAATAGTTGTGTTTTCACTATGCTCCACCCATTCAGAAGTTACTTATATGAATAATAGTTGATTAATATCAATTTTATTGCGAAAACATTGACTTGTATAAAGTCTAACATAGTGTTTTATTCACATTTTCTGTTAAGCATTTTCTACAAACTTTTCTATAACATTTCTGTAAACATTTTCTATAACTAATTCTGTTATCCTTCCAGCTCCTAACATTAAACATTAGAAAGATAAAAACAGGATGACAATAGAATTGTAATGGGTCCCAAAGAAACTTCATATCCACCCTGATAATATTAATCTCAAAGGCATTGTCTTAATCTCACCAAATAGCTCGTCTTCCATTGTCGGATATGGTTTTTGCTATTTCTAACCATTTTGAACTGGACAGATAATTGGAGCCTGTGTTTGATTAG